GGTCTAAGAAACAGGAGCTAGCTACTCTATACCTAAAACACCTTAATTAAGGAATAAATAATTAACAAAGGAATGATATGTACTTGGTGGATATGGTAAGATAGCTAATCTTTCAGTAATTTTGCTAATCAGATAGCTAATTACAAAGGAATGATAAGTTACGCTTTCTTTCATGTATAACTAATCACATTTTTTATTTACTCACTCTATCTCAAATTATTTATCATAATTTTAAAAATAGATATTTTAATTTCTTTATCATTTTAGAAATTTATGATAAAATTTTTTACATTTTATTATTAATAGTAATTATTCTTAAAAATCATAAACACCTCAAATATATGATAATATTAAAATTATTTAAATACTAAAAGAAGGGAAAACTACGCGTATAAGCAAACATATACTAGTTAATTACTTAATATATCTATAGTTTGCCTTAATTATAGTTCGCGACCTACTCTTAGCTATAATTATGCAGCTCAACTTTTTAGTTTTGTATAATTCACACGTTTGTATAATTTGGAATTTGTATAACTTTTGCATAATTCGGAATTTGTATAATATAATTTGTATAACTGTTTACATTTCTAATGTTTGTAATTGTATAAATTTCGAGTATATACAAAAATAACTGAATTATACAAATGTTCTTGCAAATTCTATAAACCTACGAATTATACAAATCCATAAATTATACAAACGAAACAGTTTAAATGGTAGGTACAACCCGTAAATATGCAGGTATAAAGGAGAATCACGACACATATGCATAATAGTTTAGACCCAAAAAGTTGTAAAAATGGGACCCACACTCCTAAATTTCTTTATATAAAGAAAATATCTGTATACAAAGTTGAAGTGGTTGAACAAAAAAAAAATTCCCCAAAAATGCAAACAACCCCCTTAACCTTCCACACCAAACAAAACCGCCCCAATAATTTCTCAAATTCAAGTAGTCTTATTTACAAACACCATAGCTAACAAAATCATATAATATGGCTCCTTCTCCTCCTCAAGATGATTTTAGCTTCCCAACAATCACCAATACACCGCCACGATTCCTTGAATCACCACCTTTATGGAGAACAACGTCAGTTGCTTCTAGTCGCCTCCAGAAAAACCCTAATCATGATCATGAAGAAAATTTGGACATGTCTACATTAATATCCAATAAGTCCAATAACATCAACCAAAGAAAGAGCTTCTCACACATAGAAGGTGTTGCTGCCATGAAGAGAATGATTGAAGATGAAGATGAAGAAGAGGAGAAAATGGACATGTTATGGGAGAATTTGAATGAAGAAATGTCTAGCAAAATTATGACAAAAACTTCATGTGGGAAAAATACAAAGAAGGTGGAATATAAATGTGTTAAATCTTTGAATCTTTCCAAAGCAAGCAAAAGGCCAAGCTTAGTGGTTCTCATCAAAGTCTTGAAAAAGGTGTTCTTGTAATTTCATACTTAATTTGCTTCTTCAACTTCATTCAACAAAACTAAACTTTGATCAATATTTTGTATCTCTTCCTTTAATTAATTTAATTTGTTGCACATAATCTTTTTTGAGTTTTCTTGTATTTTTCTAATGTTCAATGAAACCCCACCTTCCACCTCATCCCCCATCACTACCCTGTTAGGTATTTTGTAATATATAGAAGTCTTAAATTGAACAGACAAATCTGTTCATGAAAGAATATATAATTATTATGAAAAGTCATCTCTTAAGTTCTATAAGTATAAGGAAGCAGCCTAAGAAAAATATGCAAGTATATATAAGAACTTTGTTGTATCCGGAAGGAAATTATTTATATTTTTCCCCAATATATATATATAGGCAAATATCTCTTTAAGAAAAGTAATCTTCATACATGAAAGTTATTTTCTTCTTCAAATTGTATTCCCTATTATTTTTCTAACACTAGCTACCACCTAGCTAAAAGAGAGGTGTGAGGGGTTGAATAATTAAACACATTTATCTATATTATATTATATATACACACATCTAATATATTGGTTTGGTAATTGACATGCAAGTAATTGGACATAGGTTGTTGCAATGCTTATTTCATTATTATTTTTTATATATTTGAAAGTGATCTTATTTAGGTAGTCTTTGGTACAAGAAAATGCTTGTAGTATTAATTAAGAGAAGGATTTTTGTATCTTTTATTAGTTGGAAAGCTGTAATTGAAATGTATGTCCAAAGAGTTTTTATAAGATCAAAATGTCAATGTCAATGTCAAGATATATATGTTTGCAAATTATATAGGTAATAGTTGAAATTACTTGAAAAGCATGTGCCATCTACTGATTTAATTCTATATTGATTGATTTTGATTGATAATTGATTTTTGTTTTCTACAAGTAAATGTACAACTAGTGTTTTACCTATAAAATATAATTCAATCAGTGTAGCTCTATCCATTGAGTTGAATTTCTAGATAATCATTTAACTTGTAGTAAATAATCAGTAAAGTCATTTAATTTTATTTTCTTTTTTAAAAGTAATTTTATTTTATCTAATTAGCTTTCATGATCATTTAGTCTGAAATAAAAAAATTAATATTATTTTAATACTGTGACAAAAAACAACTTTTTCTGGACAAAATTCTAGTTGATTCCTGAATCAATTTTTGATTAATTTTTTGAGTGAATATTCTACGACAAAGAAAATCGAATCTGCTTTGATTTTTTGAATAGAAATAATTGAAATATAATATGGACCTATTTTGATTTAATCGTTGGTTGACAAATGATTTACTTAAAGTATCATAAAAACTAAATAAATGGGCTATCAAACTCAAAATAATAAGAGAAAGGAAAACTAAGCAAATATCTCATAAAAACAAAATAATTACAGACATATACCCTTTTACATCCATATCCAACTAAATAATTATACTATCTATTCTCAACTAATTTCGCTTAACTGATACTAAAATTAATTATCATATGCCGTAGTGGTATCATTAAGACGAATAATTTCGCTTAATAATTGATACTAAATCAGTATATATATATTGTATTGGTGATACCACAACAATATACATATACTCTTATAGTATCATTGACTAGTAATTTCTGAACAAGAAACCTTGATGATACCAATATATATATATATATATATATATATATATAATTAAGTGAAATTATATGATACCAATACAATATATGATACTGATTTAGTATCAAATCTAAAGCCAATTAAGTTCTATCTTGAAAAATAAAACAAAAATTAACGTTAAATTCATGATTCAAAATCTTCATGTAGACAAAGTTTGCAACTAATATAAACAGTAATGATAAATTGAAAATGTTGTTGCTTCCGCCTACTAGATTTATTGTTTTGTTCGTTGAGAAGTCATCTTGAGGTCAGATGATGAGAACCCACTCGGCCACTCTCCCCTTCCCGGGCCGAGGCCCTCCTCAATGGATTCTAATTAGCTCTCGTCATCTCACTCAATCCTATAGTGAAAACTCGAGTCGAGGCGCTGTAAGCGAGCAAAGAAGCACTTTTTGTAACCAAAACAAAAATCCCATGGATCCGCAAAAGAAAGACTTGTTCTGAACCACCTTACACACGGAAGATTGGATTACCTGAATTATGAGTCTTATATATTGTGTTACGATCAAGGGTAATCGTTTTTTAGTTATTAAAGATAAATTATGTTATAGACTATAATTAAAAAAAATAGCCCACAAAAGAGAGTAGTAATTAATCTAAAACAATACATTTATGTAATAACTAGGTAAATTGCCCGCATTTCACACGGTGATAAACTACTCCAATTAGATTACATCTTATTGAATTTATTATTTGTTGTATAAAAAAAAGATTAAGTTAACGCAAATACAAAAGTACATCTTTTCTAGAATTTCTGCTTTTCCATTGGGCATTTCTTTTCTTCTTTCTCAATAATCTCTATAATATACAATCTCGTTCCTTTTTAATTGTCATAATTTTCTTTTGATGTATTTCTTCATCATATTGATATGCAAAAAAATTGGAATTTATAGTACTTTTTGCATAGTTTTCAAATATCTAAATTTTTTATTTAAAATGTTAAATTAATGTAATCTAATTTAATTTTAAAAATTAAACAAATTAACTTTTGAAAAAGTCAACACGACAATTAAAAATGGGCGAAAATAATATATACTCAGTTCCCCTCCTGTGTCTCTCCATCCAAAATCACCTCTGCACCATTGCTGATTTTTCTATATTCAGGTAATATCTCTGCTTCTATATACTAAAGTAAACACTGCTGATTTGATTTTGATCTGATTGTTTTTTTTTCCTCCTTATGTATCTTTTCTGATTTGCATTCTTTTATAATCCATCTGCTGCTATGTTATGGTATTTTGAGATTCTTCGATAACATAAATATTCATAATATAGTGAAACCCTGTTTGGATAATGCGAGAATTTGCAGTGTAAATTTGAACAGATAGTTTAATCGATCATAGAATCCTTTCTCTTTTCTGTCCGACCAAATGAGTGTATTCCTTGTGTTTACCATTTCATTCATGCCAAACAAAGGAATTTTGGGGGTTTTGCTTCAAAAAAAATTTCATTTGTGAATATAGGGTTTTTTTTTTATATAAATTGAGGCAAAACCTCCCATTATATGATGTTTTAGATTACAACAAGCTCTTATTGGAAAGATGGATTAGTTTCAGTTTAGTGCCCATTAGTTTATTGAATTAATCCAACATTGGCCAAATACCATAATCTATTTGTAGACTCTATGCCACTAGCAGGTTTGTGTTAAAGGACAGTGTCTTTTGACGCTCCTCAAGCTATGGGAATTCCCTACAAGTGTTCATGATGAAGTATATTTTCTGTAAGATTTCCAACAGGTAGTGTGCTGCACGACATATTGCTTCAAATCCTGGGTCTGTTTGACTAGGCTAAACTCCTGATAGTAAAAGAACAAGAAAAGCAAAAGCAAAAGCAAAGAAACTAATGGCTTAGAATACCTTGGTTTTTATGGAAATGCATACATATACCAAAATTTAACTATCGTTTTGAACTATAGCAGAGTCCTCAATCATGCACAGTATTCTTTCAGCCCTTTCTCAAACAATTCAACGTAATAAACCAAATTTAATACAATGGAAGGCAAAGTCAATTCATCATTTCACATTTTTCAGAGTTTTAATAAATTAAACTCAACTATGCAAGAAAAGCTAAACACTTGAAAAGAGAGCATTTCGTGTGGTAGAAAGAAATTGGAATAAACACAGAGGTGGAGGATTTGTGGCTTAGGTCGCAGGTTCAAGCCCCACACCATGCAAAGCGAAGCCTGATATTTAAGTGGAGAAGGGTAGAGGGACGGGCCCATTATCCACCGAGTTTAGAAGGCTGTGATTGGTCCAACGGGCGGGTCACAAACGGATTTCTCGGTTATCAAAAAAATATCTGATTCAAGATGTGGAACATGAAATTTAATTCTTGTTTGGAGCCTTTTGAGGATAATAAGTAAGAAGATATTCAAATTAAAGTCATGTAAAGCCGCGTAAATTCTGGACATTTATTTGGACCAATTAAAACCTTAATGAAGTCTTTTGCTGGGTAAAAATAGAGAGGTACGAAGGAGAGAAGCTCTTTGGCTCTCCATTTCATTTGCTGTATAAAGAGAACCTCGGAAGGGGAATAGAAACCAAGCAGCTACTTGGTCATTTGGGAAAATCACAGCTCTCCTGTGGTTTCACGTGAACTCTCAACACTACTCACTTAAATGGGTAATCTTGGTACTTTGCATTTACTTTACTTGTCAAAAGTTCTCTTTAATTTCTTAAGTTTTGTGCTCAGTTAAACAGCTTCACATAAAATTAAATGAAATAATTTGCTTTTGCTCTTTCGTTCCACTAAATCTCCTTTTCTACTCTTCTATTTCACTTTACATCCATGAGTCCAAGACAACCCGTCAATGTTAGGTGGTCATGATTTCTCCTGGTATAACCTCGTAATCTTTATATGTAGTCTTATCACATCATCCGGTAAGAACAAAAGTCCATTTATCTGTGGTGATCTTCGCTCTTGAATATATCATGTTTGACACTCAGAAGGTGAAATGCAGATTATATAATTATGTGAACATTTTTAATCCATATTTATCATCAGGAAGCAACGAGCAAAAGCAAAATTGCAGTTTTGGTACCTAATTTTTAGTCGTGCTTTTTTCCATTCTGGTTTTTTTTTTTTTGAAATGGTAAGTAGTAGTATAAACAGAAAGAACACAAAGCTTGTGCCAGATTACACCCAAAAAGCCATCCCATCCTACTTTCTTTTAACAAGTGTTGACAAAAAAAGCTTGTAATGTAGAGGATACTGTTTGTTATAAGGTTTATAGTTGGTAGTATCCATGATCTCCTTGAATTATTGGTGTTTGATTTCTCTTTTTGAAGTACCAATTTACTTACCATAATGGGTTTTAGTAATACAACTCATTTCAGATTTACATGCAGATACACTTCTGTGTTATATGTAGTTCTGCTAGCAAAAAAGTTAAATGGAGTGGCTAGTAATCATCGTTACAGTGGTTGTGCTGTGGGTGGCTTCACTCTTTAAAATTCTTCACGAATCTCTCTCTGCCTCACAAGTTGAAGTTTTGAATGATGGTATGGGGTGACTTCTCTACTAAATGTCAATTCTTGTTTTCTTTTGCATTTACTGGCTGCCTCAGTTTGTTATGCACTATTCTTTAGAATCTAAATACAGACACGCATACGGCTTTCCCTGTAGTGTTTGCTGTACAGCTAATTGCTTCTTTTTTTTTTCTTTTTTTTTTTAGGATTAGCTAATTGCTTCCCTTCTTAATATGTAATTTCTTTTTAAGTTTCAGGTGGGGTTTTTTGCAAGAGAAACGTGTTGTTGGTTATTGCCCATCCCGATGATGAGTCTATGTAAGGTTGAACGTCTTAACTTTGAGTTGTTATTTGTTCCTGTCATGAATTTTCTGAGCAATGCAAACTTTTGAATTGCTATAGAGGGAGTTGCAGGCTAAGACACTTTGAACTGTATGTTAGTTTTGATCAAGATTATGTGAGCCTTATGTATGTCTAGTTATACACTAATGCAAAGTTGCTCAGTTGAAACAAAATTTAATTAGTTGAACCCGTAGGCACATTTACTGAATAATAACTTAATAAGTCTCCATGAATTCATACGTCCATCTTGAAACGTGGTGGACTAGAAATTTGGTGGGCTAAACTATAAGATTCAATTTTTACCCCTTTGTTAAATAGGTCATTAAAGAACTGGAATATGATTTGTGTTTATAAAAATTATGATTTCAATCTTTTTGTTTTCGTTTGTTTTGTTAAGCATATGATACATGAGAATCTACAGCCTAAGAAAATGACATTCCTTTCTTTTTCTAAAGTTCATCAAATTTCCTTTATGCTTGTTCTAAGAGAAGCATCCCTTCTTGGACAATATTTTTTCCTTGCAAATTGTGTTTAAAATATTCTCCATCCGTTTCAATTTGTTTGTCCCTTCAATCGCACGGTCTTAAACATGCTATGTGGAAATTTTAGAATTTAAGAGTTGCCAAAAAAGGAAAGACATTCTTTTTAAAACGAGCCAACAAGGAAAGTAAGACAACCAAATTAAAACAGAGGGAGTAGTTGGTAAGAAGGATCACAACTCTCGATGTTAGTTGATTGTTAACTTGTCTCTAACTATAGATGTCAGTTTCCTACATATGGTACAATAACCTTTTAATGTTTAGGCAATCTTAAGTAATCAATATTGTATCTATTTGCTGTACAAAGCATCGCTGTTGAGAGGACAATGACTTATGGTGCTTTTAACTCCATACTGCAGGTTCTTCACTCCAACTATTAATTATTTGTCTTCAAGAGGATGTAATTTGCACATATTATGCATGTCAACAGGTAATGCTCTTAGAATATATCAAATTATGTTGCAGATGCTGAATCCAAAAATTTCCTTTATGCCTAAGTATTGAGTGGCATGTGTATTTTGGTTGCCGTATATCTCAAGACGCAAAAAGTAAAACTAAAATGAAATGTTGATTTTTGAACCGGTTGAAATATTTAAGCAATTGATTTTTTAAGAAGTATGATCCAGTTCAAGCAGTGTTTGTTAAACCTGAGGTTCACTTTCTGGATTTGATTTATTGCAGCTATTTGCAACTTTAAAGTGTTTAATTGATCAGAACACAAATCACTGGAACTGTTCTTTACAAATCTTTATCCTAGATAACCAATAGTCTATTACTGATGCTAACTTTCAGTATATTGTTTCTGCTTTGTCACATGGTATTGAAATATAGGCAACGCTGATGGTATAGGCAATGTCAGGAAAGAAGAACTTTATTTAGCCTCGATTGTGCTTAAGGTGATGTAAAATTTTATCTGAATAGAAATCTGAGCGATGCATTAATGCTAGTTCTGTGATCTTTTATGTTGGCTTTTATGCAATTGTTAGTGCATTCCTCTATTTCTGTGAATTACTATAACAGAAGTTCTTGTAAAATGTTGGAGAAAGCAGTTAGATATGAGTCGTTGATCTTTCTGCTCTCTTAATTACTCATGTAGGTTCCACAAAAGCAAGTGAAAGTCCTTGACCATCCAGATCTACAGGTATTCTGATTGTATCAGAAGGGTATATCTCTATGTTCTTAAATGTCTAAGCAGAGCTTTAATGCTTAGTTCTTACCAGGATGGTTTTGGCAAATCATGGAACTCTAAGTTACTGTCAAAGATTATCAAGGAGGAAATTGTCAATTGTGCAATTGATTTGGTAAGTGATTTCAGTAATTATCTTGTTCAACTAAGATGCCTTTTCAAGTAACCTTCAGTAGCTTGTGCTTCTTCGGTTGTTCTAAATTTAAGCTTCCTCCCATTGACTTCATTGTATAAGTGGCTGTTCTACTTCACTAGATTAAAATCTTGATCTGAAGGTATATCCTTCGTTTATTTGTTCATTTCAGTTGAAAATTAAAGAATATAGTTTTCATTATTCCTATTTCAGATGCCACGAATCAATTTGATTTGATTTTCCCTCTACTTAATTGGAGTTTATATGGAAGAATCCGCTATGACTTCATTGGGGCCTACCATTCTGGATTTTAAGTAGAGAACCCAAGAAGGGATTACATATTCCTTACGTGGTGTCTACCAAATATATACCAAGTACATTTGAAACAAGTGCATAATTTTAATGTGATAGACTCTTGTATTTATGCAAGCTTTAATGTTTGGTATAATAGAGGACAGTCTTTCAGAAAGGAAGCTGAAACTTCCATAAAGAAATATGGGGTAACCTCATGAAGTTTCGATTTAGGGAATAATGCAGTGGTTGCCTATTTCATGGTTCACGTTTTAGACAATAAATTTTTCATCACAAAAATAATCAAGACTGCAAAATGCTGTAAATAACTGTAGTATTTTATTTCAATACAGTCAATATTACAGTCTCAAAAAAATGATTCTTCTTTTCACAAATAAATTCAAGGGCCTTCGAGTTTGGTCTTGAACTTTGTGTATTTTAATCCAAGCGCTTGGAGCTTGATCTTGAATTTTAATCTTGACCTTTGAATACTTAAAACACTTGAATACTTGCAACTTATAGAGAAATTTGTACCCTTTGATCTACGAACTGCTCTAGCTTCTACATCGACCCTGCCTGATCAAACACAAGTCATTATCTGCCAAAAATGGGTAGTATTGCTGCCGGGTAAGGATGGAATTGAAGAAATTAGGCTTGAGCATCTTGTAATCATTTATGAGGTTGAGAAGAAAAATTGACGAAAACCCATCATTGATTACTTGAGTTATGGGATACTGTTCGAAAATCCAAGAAGAAGTGAAGAACAGAAATCTGTCTTAGTGCACCTACTTCCCTGACTACAAAGATACTTTGTTTAGAAGATCATTCAATGGAGTACTCTTGCGATGTTTGGAGGAGGATGAAGCTTTGCAAGAAGCACATTCTGGAGTGTGGATCACATCAATTTGGGCTAAAAGTGCCTAAAACTCTACTTCCACATAAAACTTATGGGATATTATTGCCAACAATGATGAAAGATTGCTTGGACTATGCTAGAAGATGTAAAACTTGTTAGTTGCATGCAGAATTTTATACATCAGCCACCTGAAGCGTTACACCCGACTGTTGCATCTTGGCCATTTGACATTTGGGGACTAGATGAGCAGAAGTTGTTGCTCTCAAGGAAGTTAAGAAAGAAAATGTTGCAAACTCCATTCGAGTAAATATCATACGCTTTGACATTCCTTGTTATATAACAATGGACAATGGCAAGCCATTTTGATAACGAATTGATGAATAAGATTTGTGATATATTTGTCTTCAAGTAGCGTAAGATTTTATAAGATTTTCCTTTTGTTTGTATTCAAAGTGTTGCCTTACGAGTTATTTGTGAGCAGAGGGAAATCTTATTTATGTCACCTTTTCATCTCAAGGACACTTGTTTTCCAGGTCATAACTTTTGATAATTATGGAGTCTCAGGTCACTGTAACCATCAAGATGTTCATCAAGGTGTACGGTAAGTTATTCATCATATTCTGGTAGCCGTTGGTAGTAATTTTGCAAATGAAATTAGCCACCATATTTTGGTATTACTTGGAAGTGTTCTTGCAGATGTTATAAAGAGAGTTATTTAGAATCGACTATTGACAGTGATAGTTAATACTAGCAAAGTTTCATAGTGATCCTGTTTCTTTCTAGTTTGATATCTTTTATACTTGATTTGGTGTTTTAAACAAGCATCATTGTAAGGGATTCTTTACTGTTCTTTTGTTGAATCTATTATTGATTGACATGCCGATAACATGTGTATTTTGTCTGACAAGGAAAACATTGATGAGTTGAACACTCTTCTGTAGATGTAGGACTTCAAAATAAATCTTCTTCAAGATTCAAAAAATTAACTCAACCATAATTCTCCCATTATGATAGTTAGGTTAGCACATTTACTTTAGGTCCTATATTCTTGGAGTCTTTTAGTCATATCAGAGATTTATATACCAGTATAAACTACAGAGAATTCTAATACTTTTTGTCTCTTTTCATTTTTATTGTTTAATAATATCAGCATGAGATGAGCTTCGATAGAGCAGTACGGCTAGTGAGATTCATACAGCTGATTTGAACTTGGGTTTAGGATTGAGAGGTGTAGTCGTCGTTGTAGTATATTTCTCCCACTAGTCTTCTAGAATTTGGTAGTGAAATATGTAAGGCTTAAAATTAGTAGCTCATCTTTATGAAATGGTTTATTTATATGCAGAAAACTATTGCAAGATACTTCACATAAAGAAGTTGAGGCCTGGGAGCTTGTGAGTTCTTCCCTTGTCTCTTTACTTTTGGTACTACTTGTAGATTTTTGTTTTAGTTTCTTGGGGCTATCATAATACAACAACAGCAACTAAGTGTACGTTTCAATCTCAAGCAAGTTGAGGTCAACTATATAAATTCTCACTAACCATGTCGTTTCATTTAAGCTCACCTTTTTCTTGGGAATATCATAGCTAGAAAAATTTAGATGTTAATTGGTTTTGAATTTTATGACTATGATTGGCACCTTTGCCAATCACAACATTATGCTCTAAGTTTTGAAGTGGGAGCTTTGTGATTAATCATTTTCAGGTTAGCACTAGCATATTGCGTAAGTACAGTGGACCAGTTGACATATGGTTGTCCCTCCTAACTGCCAAGTTCCATTTAAGTGGAGTGGCACATTGCTTTCTAAACGAACATCCCAGAAGGAGCTTAGCTGCAATGGCTCAGCACAGGAGTCAGTGGGTTTGGTATGTAATACCCGTGCTATTTGTCTTGCTATAATGAGTAAGGAAAGTTTGGAAAGAACTAAACGGAAATTTTTATTCCCAGTTTCTCTTTCCAGACATTCATTACGTTATTCCATTATGAGTGTGAGAAGACACATCAAGTATAACGAAAATTATCTATAAGAGACATCTATAATCCTCTTGATTTTAAGTTATCACACAGTAGAGATGTAGTTGCAGATACGCTCTTTGGACTAATGCATCAGTGCTTAACCACAGATGCTTATAACATTTGGTAGATTGCAGTTCACACATACCTTGTCGTAACTATTTTTGGGTTTACCTTTTCAGGTTTCGAAAGATATTTGTTTCTTTCTCAAGTTACACATACATTAACTGCGTTAGGAAGATCAACTAGATACATGTTAGAGTTGTTGGTTCAAGAAGACACTTGAAAGGAAGATCAACTAGACGTTGGTTTGGTTCAACAACACTTGAAATGGCAATGGTAAGTAAACCTGCCTAGTTTTCGATCATCTAAGTCTCTCTTGTGAGCTTTTCTTTGAATAACTTCCGATTGATTAAAAATTGGAGAAGTGTTTGAATGTTTTTTTTGTGGTTGTAGAATGGTTGGAACTATTTCACTTAATTAAATTGAGTATAAATGTTTTGAGCTCTTTTTTTTTATATTTATTTTATTTGTAAGTAATAAATGCCTAGTGCTTTTGATGAATAATTTGGTTTTGATGCTATGCAAATCAATTGGTTTTTCTTTTTACTTCTTCTCTTCTCTATCTTTTTTTTTCAACCGTAGGTATGTTATTCTTATAATGATTAAGTGGGCGTTAGATATTTGAGAAAACTACACAAATTGGATCCATTAGGTAAAGTATTTACTCATATTGGACCCAATCCAATATAGACCCAAACTATTTATCTGACTGCTCCATTGTCTATTCACTGAACCACTACTTCTTCATCATTGATATCATTAGAATATATATACTCTGATGGTACTTATATACTTCATCATCATTGATATCATTAGAATATATATACTCTGATGGTACTTATATACTTCATCATCATTGATATCATTAGAATTTATATACTCTGATGGTACTTATATACTTCATCATCATTGATATCATTAGAATTTATATACTCTGATGGTTCTTATATACTTCATCATCATTGATATCATTAGAATATATATACTCTGATGGTACTTATATACTTCATCATCATTGATATCATTAGAATATATATACTCTGATGGTTCTTATATACTTCATCATCATTGATATCATTAGAATTTATATACTCTGATGGTACTTATATACTTCATCATCATTGATATCATTAGAATTTATATACTCTGATGGTACTTATATACTTCATCATCATTGATATCATTAGAATATATATACTCTGATGGTTCTTATATACTTCATCATCATTGATATCATTAGAATTTATATACTCTGATGGTACTTATATACTTCATCATCATTGATATCATTAGAATATATATACTCTGATGGTACTTATATACTTTGATGGTATCAAGCCGTGACTGAGCAGTCTTTTCACTGGAACATTGTATGCTCCTCTTTGATTCCATCAAAGCATATATATACTCTAATGGTATCAAAGAGTAACTGAGTAGTGTTTTCACTGAAGCATTGCTTCTTCCTCTTATATTTATACTTTGATGATATTAAACAGTAAACACGCATAAGTAGTTAAAAACAAGAGGGTATGAAAGTAAAGAGGTAGCTGCTTGTGAATAGTTTTCTTTAATGTTAGTGAAATTTTTTCTCAAAGACTACTGTTTTTTTAATAAAGTAAATAGGTGACAAGTCCCTATCAAAATTTTGAAATATTAAAAGACACAAGTTAGAGAAAAGGCCACGTAAAAGTTAACAAATGTGTTTTAAGTAAGCAAAGGGAGAAAGCACAATTCAAGTGGCAAAAGGATAAATTCTATAAATATATCACTTTGAGACAAATTCCTCCCTTTTCTCCAAACACATTGCGTGACTTCTCCTCCTTGTCTTTATTTTTCATTTCCTTTTTGTTTAACCAAAAGTTATTAATTTTCATGCTTTATCTCCAAGCATTCTTCTTAATTTCCCCCTTTCACCACAATTCCAACTTTTTAAAACGTCGTTTGTTCGAATATTTTTTTATTATAGTTAAATATTTGTTATAAAGGTAATATATTGTAATATAACATGAAAAATTGATTTCAGAGAAAACTTGATTGTTATAAAGGATGGTTGTATAAATTATTATCATGTTAAGTTAACCTACAATAAGATAGTATTACTTGTCATAACAACCCTAATAAGGTAACTCGGACGATTGTATGATAACTTGTTATAACTGGTTAAATTAGATTGAGAACTTAAATTTTTTGTACCGTCTGTATATATAAATTAAATTTATTTTTTATTCTTGAGGAAAAAGGGAACAAAGCATAAAAAGTACAAGATTTAAAAAACTAGTTTTGATGCCCCCTCCCCTTCCCCCACTTTTCCACCTTACTAATTCACCTCTTATCTACTTCTCCACCCCTTGATAATCTCCCAAAGTAAGCATCTTTCTCTTGTGTTATAATATGTAAGTAATGGGAAGGACATTCATAGCTTGTCTTTCTCCATTTCACCAAAGAAAATGTATCTTTCATATTACAAATAGTGAAACTATGGCTCTCTTTGCTTCATTCACCAAAGAAATCAAGAATCTACAATCATCACTACTATCCAACAATTCTTTAACTCTTCAATGGTGTGTAGAAGCCATGACTCTGCTGAAAACACTCCACTCTCAATTTCTTCTCATCATATTGGAGAAATCAAAGGTAATACCTTTTACATGGATCAATGATGACATGTTGAATTTATACATGAATGAGAGTTTAAACCTCATGGAACTTTGTAACATGTTGAAGTCATCAAGTTTTAAGATCAACATGTATCATCTAACAATTGATACTACAATCAAGAATCTTAATCACTATGAGGCAAAAGCATTTGCCAATATGCAACCAATTGAACAAAGAGACAACAAGAGAATTCTTATTCAAGAAATGCAAAGGGGTTGTTGTTCAAGTTTGATTTGCACAATTAGAGTTGCAATGAGTTTATTAACTTACATTCTTTTAAATGTTTTTATGTATCCAACTAAGAATTATAATAGGATTTGTTGCAAGTACTCTTCTCCAATTAAGTCATTCAAGGACTCAGTTAATGAACTTGCCACTGAATTTCAAAGGAAATATTACAAAGATGGAGAAAGAGGAGTAATAAGATTTTATGAGTATGAAGAAATGGAGAAGGCAATAATGGAAGCAAAAGAAAAGTTTAAAAGTGGATATGAAGAAGAAGAGATAAAGAGAATTAAAGATGTTATTCTTGAGAAATCTATAGCTCTAAAGGTTGGTTTGGAGAAGTTTGAATCACAAGTTAATCAAGTATTTGAAGAGGTGCTAAAAGGAAGGAATAAATTGCTCCAAATGGTTGGTAAAACCAATGGAATTTTTAGATAAGTCATACTCTACTTCTTGTGTATATTTCTTCTTCATTTTTTTTTCAAGGGCAGAGTTGGTAAAAAAAAATAATCTAATACTCTCTATATGGTCCATTTTATATGACATTATCATCATAATTTTCTCATTAACTATTAATCATATATAATTGAACTCCATGTGTCTCAATTTATATATCAATTCTTTCTAACGTCCTTGTTAGAAACAATTTGACTTCGTATTTTACCCTTAATGAAATAATTATATCACACAAATATCAATCGCTTGCTTTAGATCACAAGATGTAAAAAATCTTTCCTTTTTAAATTTTTTTTAATGCCAAATCAAACACCACCAAATGAATTGACATATATTAGAACAAAGGAAGTAGTTTATATACATTAGTTGTGACCGAGAATTATAACATACTACAAACCCCTCCATATTGTTAAACAAAACCTTATAGAGGAAAGTTAGAAAGAAAAAAAATCGATACACAAAGCATCCCACATTGGCAGAGTTCAAAGAAGGATTGCATATCGAGAAGTGCGATTAAATCCCTAATGCAAGTATTAGTGGTTGCCTTAACGGCTCAAACCCATATATTATTGCTCCAAAACTCCCTTCTATTGAGGAAAAAAGACACATCTATGTAATTAATATATTGGTAACGAGTTTTATTAAGATACGCTAATTCTCATTCAATAATTTAATTTTTATCCATCATGATTGGTGTAGATAGTGAGTGCTTTTAGGGCTTATTGTAAGTGTGCCAATCACAAGGAGTAAAGCCACTACTAAATGTTGGAATTATCATATGATAAGACTATAAATTGAATGAGTAAATAGTATCAATTCGTCCAAATATTAGAAACAATAAATTGGCACCCTGCTTCATAGAAAAAGAATACATATAGTGTCAGGTATTTTCTTCACCAACTCCTGTAGATACAATGGAAAATGGATAGGATGCTTAACACTAGGAGTTGGTCAAGGCAATGAAATTAATAGAATGTAAGCTGTAATGGTGGTGGTATGTTCTTTGCACCAGAAAGTTGAGATGAGCCAGCAGAATCCACCTTGCTTTGCGTTGCTTTGAATCGATAAGGCTGGGATGTGTATCACTTTCTCTAGAGAATTTTGGTAATGTACAACAGACACAATCACAATGGCTATGGAACGATGACCCTCTTTCCAGCAAGCAAGTACAGTATAGTGACGCATATAACAAAAAAATTGAATCATCAGCCAAAACCAGGAGTCACTCAGCTTTTACTCTGTCTCAGGTTGGGAGAGAATATCCCTCTGCTCGTCTGATCTGTGACGGAACAACTTAGCTATCTTTCGCCTTTCACAATCCTACAATGCACATATCAAGTGTTAGAGGAAAATGGAAGGTTGTCTATCTCCACAGTTGCGCTTGGAAGCAACTTAAATTTCTCACCTTGAACATATTGAGATAAAAAGGCTTGTCTGGGTTCATCTTTTTCAACTTGTAGTATGTATATGCAAAACTCAGTTGATCACGGGGAGTAAACCGGTCAACCTCATTGAACCATAAACAAGAAAACAAGTTTGACATTGGTGTGTGAGCCCTCACAATAAAAGATCCTTCTGGTACATCTGTCAGAAACATGTAATGACATTTTGCCAATAAGAACACAGAAGCAGAAAGGTATTGCACGAAATTAAATATAGAACAGTGCACCGTACTGCTGTGAAGAAGCTTGTTTGGATCAGATGCATTAAATCTTTGCAATCCATCAGCCTGATAAAATGCAAATTGTTCATCTATGACAGTATGATTGTACTTGTTAAGTTTCTTGTTTTGGGCAACTTCTTCCCACACACAATGCCTGTCATAGTGATTGGAAATTGCATATTCATAACCTTTACGCCACAGAAAGTACTCCAAGATGAGTAGGGGATCAAGCTGCAGCCGAAGCTTGCTATCTAACCATATTGAATACCTGCATAATTTCAAATGAAAATGCTCGTAAAATGTTTTTGGAAAATAAAATAAAATTATAAGCTACTAAGATAGAAATTCTCCCTTCCACCTCCTCTTTCTTCAGGGAGAGGTGGTTTAATAAGCAATTCACACTCAAGCATCTCAACTTTTTAATAAACGAACAGAAATTTGAAAAGTTCAAGCAAACAATTATATGCATAGAAATGTAAGGCCCAAAAGAGAGGATAAAAGAGCAGTTTACAAGAGTATCACTGACTGTATCAAAAGTCCATCT